TTAATTGAGTAAATATTTTTAATAAGAGATGCAAAATCTGCTTGTTTATGTTTTATGCAGTGTTACTCCACCCTTAGATAGAACTGTTTGGGAAAACTCTGCAGTATGGCGGGGCGGGGCCTCAAAGGATCACAGAAAAGAAAAAGAGAACCAGTATCCATAAAAGTAATGATTGCCTGTGGAGAGAAGCCACCCACGCTTCAATTCCTTTCACTCCTGATCAAGCAGATACTTCTCTAAGCTGGAGGCATCCTCTCTGCCTTTTTCTTGTGCTGAGCTCTATTTACACTTTCCACACGTTTTGCTGACCCTGTGAAGCCCTGCGACTTACAATAATTGAAAGAACTGAATGAGACAGACTTTGTCTGTCACTGCTATGCTTAACCATCTTCTGAGAGCGGAGCAAAGTCTGAAAGGGTTTATAGAAAAAGTTAAATATCCTGAAGTGCCACTTAAAGATGGAGGATAGTGAAGCTTAGGTGAAACAAAGGAAGTATTTATGTTGCTATATACTGGGTATATTAAATCACTGTAAATAAAGTTAAATAATTATTTCTTATCAGGAAGTTATTGCTTCAATTCAAGCTTACTAAGGAAAATAAAATGTGTTGCAAAACTTACAAGTCTAACTAAAGTCTGGATTAAGCCCAGGTAATGTAAATAAAAATAAATAGATAGAAAGATAGATAGATAGATAGATAGATAGATAGATAGATAGATAGATAGATAGATAGATAGATAGATAGATAGATAGATAGATAGAAAGAAAGAAAACATACACATCACAGTCACAGCAAAGAAAAGTAAGATAATACAAGATAGATATATAAAGAATAAAAAAACACTGCAATATAANTAGATAGATAGATAGATAGATAGATAGATAGATAGATAGATAGATAGATAGATAGATAGATAGATAGATAGAAAGAAAGAAAGAAAGAAAACATACACATCACAGTCACAGCAAAGAAAAGTAAGATAATACAAGATAGATATATAAAGAATAAAAAAACACTGCAATATAAAATCTTCACTAGATATAAAAACAACCACATTTATTCAAACATTCAAATTACTTCATTCAAATGTAAATATACATATATCAATTATTCTGAAATTTTTGTTTAAAATAACAAACACAAATATTTTGATTGAATAATTGAAGGTAGTATCTAATATATATAATATATAGTAAAACTAAAACTAAAGACCGATGCGTTTTTGCCATAGTACGGCACTTACAGTGTGAATAATGTAGTTTTCTATTTTATTTTTATTACAGTTAAGTCATTTTGCTGGTGAACTAAGTCATCTGTGTTGTCCTGAGTAGTATAAACAGGCAATTAAAGCTTAAACATCACTAACTGAGAACGTAAATAAGGAGGAAACATCTATTTGCCTTTCCAAGGACTCAGGTTTAGAGTTTTTACTTTCATTTTGAAATTTAGATGAGATTCCATCACGTCATTCAGTGTTATGTTTTTTCCACAGTCTCAGTGAGATTAAATGAATCCATCAGGGGTGCATTGAAACTTGAAACATCAAACATCTTTATGCAATAAAAACTGTTACAAAGATTATACAATATCGATAAAAAAAGTCTGAGTGATCCTGAGTCTCTGATGAACATTTTTTATGCAAAATCTAAAGAGTTTATATTGAACAAGGTGGTTTCATGGCACAGATTAAAGCTTTTAAGCAGATTCTACAAATATTCAGTAGCTAAACAGAACCCTGTTTGCTCCTTGCAAAATATAACATATCTTGATGCATGTTTGGGAAACCACATACCGGTACTGTCAGTGTCTCCCCCTTCTGATCTGAACTCACTTAGATGGAAGGAAATTAGTTTGAATATTCAGAAAGAATATGAGAGGAACAAAGAACATAAACCAGCAATGAAACCGGAAAATGTGTCTCAGCATCCAAATTCAATTTGATCATCAGGGACACAGAGGAAACAAACCAAAGGTCCATAATGCTCAAATAAAATGTTTGTTTTTGGCGAAAATATTTTATGGTCAGACTAGAAAAAGGGTTTTACTCTTTGGGCATAGTGAGTGGAAGTATGCTTGGAGCTGCTAAGGAGAAGATTTGAAGCTTAGAGAACATTGAACCAGATGTCTTTCACTGTAAAAAAGGAGCCTAAGGCTGATTTGCTGCAACTGCCACCGGTTCATGCCTTTCACAGGACTTAGTCATGGTGAGGGAAGACTACTTTTCTTTAAGTTAAATGGAAACTTAGGCTGTGGGGTCTTAAAACAGGAAAACGGTCCCAAAACCATGCAAAAGTGAAGCAGACTGGATGGTTTTCTGAAATGATTTTGCCCATTCTTTGACTGCAACAGACAGAAAATGAATGGTCTATATTTTAAAAGCCGGGTCTGAGCAATGTGACAATCAAATGTGAATGAAATAGGTTATCCCAGGAAAGAAGATGGTTCAAATTGTTGTTTTGCAATCCTTAAATTCCAATAAAAGGCTGATTTTTTCACATAACTTTGTAGAAGACCAAAAATAAGGTGGTTTCCAGAACCATAATGAGTTTATGTTAACCTTTCATCAGAACTGTTTACAATGCACTAAAAATAAACACATCAGAGCCATTATACTATAAATTAGGATTAATTTTTACATACAAGTAACCTGATTCAGCTTGTTTTAGAGTTTATTCAGAATCACAATAAAAAACAAAACAAACTATTATGGTAGTAAATATGCAGCAAATGGTTTTATTTCTTAAAACATATTCACATCAACAACATTTGCACGTTTTTTGCAAACAAACCTTCCAAGTGAATATTGCAAGAAAATGCAGTTTATTGATTTAAGATGTTGCCTGCATCATTAAGTGACAAAATATTGCGAGTTATCTCATCCTGAAACAGTGAGGAGGGAACAGGAGTGGAGACTTTTTCTCTTATTTCTGATTCTCCATCTTTCTGTCAGTACAGTTGAAAATAACAGCGCCAGGTTTCTCCAAGCTACAAGCCAAATTTAGCTCACAAATCAATAAAGTATTCATACTGCAAAGAGGGACAAAGAAGGACTTTTTTTTGACATATTGCTGCAGTTATAGGTCTTTGTGTTTAGAATATCAATGGGAAGGAGGAGGGAAAACTTCCATGCAAGAGCACAGATAATCAAAGAGGAATGCCAGTAAGGTGACTGGTTTAATTACTTTGCTGGTTTTGTGAGGGCTAATAACGTCATGGTAATAAAACAACTAAAAAAACAGAATTAATGCATTTTTAATCCTGTGATGTCAGGCAGAGAATGGCTCTTCTTTTTAGGTTTTACCTTAATGAAAAATTGCACGTATAAAGTGACAAAAAGCAGAGAAAAACTGTAAAGGTCAATATTATTTTTTCCGTTATATCATGTTCCGTCTCCCTGCTGCTGGAAAAATAAAAAATAAAACATATTTTCAATATATTTCAAAGGTCTTCTATGAAAGCCCATTATGAGGTTTGATGTAGATAGCTTTAAAGATAAGCTGTTTAAAAACAAGAAAAAAACAAAACCTGTACTTCAGAAAAGTAAACACTTATACATACGGTATCTAAAGCGGCCATGATTCATAATAGGAATTTATCTACACTTAAATTTTTTTTCCAGAAATAAGCATTAACAGAAATTAGCAGCCCATGCTATCATTACTATTGCTTTGTCCTGAAATAATTCCTCTTTTCCTCCACATATGAATATTTTTTTATGTTGATGCTCTTTATTCTACAGATGTTTTTGTAATTACAAGATACTATATCAAGTTTTACAATTTTATTTATTTTATTCATTTATGGTTTCAAATTAATTATTTTCTGTCCTCTGCATCATGTGCGAAGCTTTCTTATCATTAAAATTGGCCCTATCTGCTGCAGACGATGGCCTAGCTTCATTCATTAAACGTCAAAATGGAGAAAAGTCTTGGGTACAAACACACCTTTGTTAAAGAAGCCAGTGCTGGTTAAGAATGGAAACTTTGATGATAAATTAGGGTGCCAAGATTTCCCCGGATCATTGGTTGAGACACGCGCTAATGCTGTGACCCATTTAGATGAAAGCTCTGGAGGTTGAGCTGTTTTTCGAGGTGTAGACTAGCTCCACATGATGCATCCAGCCTGCATTAGTGCTGATGGAGTTTCCGAGCTCTTTCTCCTGGGATAAAAAAGGCTGAAGTAGTAAACAGGTTCAGTGCAAACAGAGATACGGGGAAGATAGCACACAAGTGAACAAGATAGAGCCTCATTTCTTTCCTGGCCATCTAGCCGAGTCTCATTGTTCTATTGTGAATCTGGGTTCGCCTGTGCTGCTTTACTGGCTTACTACATTATGATCCATGCTTTTATGATCTATATTTATAACCTCCTAGTTAGTGTAGCACAGTGCAATGTGTTAAATAAATTATAGGTGAAAATGTGGATGCTTTGTAGATCTGCTGTATTTTTTACATAAGAAAAATGCAAGTTGTGCTCCTATCTAGTCTGCTACTATAATCTACTCCTTTTTCAAAATGTAATTGTAACTTTGTCACAGATCAGTTGTCCTTATTTTTGCAAACAATAATTTAATATTTGCTGAGTTCTAACTATTTAGTTAAATATCCATTCAACCTAGATATTAATGCAGCCTCCCTATAGCTGAAAGATCTACAAGTATTTGTCGAATTGACTGAGAATGAATTTAACAGATTAACTTGCAGCTGAATCAGATAGAATGAAAAACATCTTTCTGAGGTAAAATACTCCTAAGCCTTTTTGCAAAATGTGAGGAATAAGTGCCTTAAAAAAAAACTCCCCTATAGTGGGATTTATTTTTCTGCATCTTGCAAACTGACGTGTATCCATATAAATACAATCTTTCACAATGCAGCCACAGAAAAATAAAAGGATGCATTTATTGTTTACTGTAAAGCCATTTATTTATCAAATTTTTAAAATTACCGGTTTATTTATGAATTGTTTAACGTATTGGTAACGTCACTGTTTATCCTTCAGGATGTCCATCATCAGCATCATTGCCAGGGAGATCTTGGACTCCCGTGGAAACCCCACAGTGGAAGTGGATCTTCGCACAGAAAAAGGTTCTTTACTTTAAAAACATAACAGACAGTCTTTAGGACTCTTTTTGCTTAGATAGTCAAATTTATTCAGGATTAGAAGGGAAGTAAACAAATATTTTATAACCAAAAGTATAAAACTATCTAACTATGACATTAAGACTGAGTGAAATATGAAATATGAATAATGAAAGCAGATTATTCAGATGAGGATCTGCATTCACATACTATTTTCTGTGTGACCTGCCTATTAATTCAGCCATTTTCCACGACATTTAATCCTTTTAATATAATTTTCTCCTGTTGTTTTTAGGTCTGTTCAGGGCTGCAGTGCCCAGCGGGGCATCCACAGGGATCTACGAGGCTCTGGAGCTACGAGATGGAGACAAAAGTCGCTTCAAGGGAAAAGGTAAGAAGATAAAATTATTTGGGCATCCACATTCAGTTCCCTTTGACTTAAATTGAAATAAAGCTAATCAACAGTCATAAACTTTTAGATATAAAAGTTTTTTGTTTACAAAATGTAAAGTTTTTAGATATTTTTTGATGTTGTTAATTGAGTGAACTGCAGAAATACAGTTTGCTGATATATTTCACAACAACGACAAAAAATATAAATAATTGTTAATATTAAAATACGTCTTTATTATAACTAAAACATGAAGCTCACTTCATCTGAATGAACAGCATTGTTTAATTGTGTTTGTCTATATAAAATATCCACTTTCAGTTCAAAAGAACAATATCTTTGTTAAAAAAAGTTTTCTACAACATTTCTTTCTATTTACCTCTTTTTAAAAAAAATTGCCTTTTCCTCCTTGTTTTTCTCCTTTAGGTGTTTTGAAGGCAGTTGGACACATCAATGATTCTCTGGCACCAGCCCTCATTGCCTCTGTAAGTCAGCAAAAATGTTTTTATATATTCAATGGGAATAAAATTAACTGAAAATGAAAGGGTTGTTTCATGGGGCTGGTGGTGGTTGAAGAACACCCAAAAAGGGCAAGAGCACATCATTTATTATATTAAGTGAGCCACAAAGCCAATTTTGCAGGCCCCTGATCTAATGGATGAAAATTATTGCCATTTCTCAATATGCGTACTTGTGCGTTCTCGTGAAAACGAAACAAGAACACAAGACAGAGAATGGATGTCCCCGGATGCTGTTCTCGCCCCTCCCTATTTACCGAGTATGCATCAGAGCAGACTTGTCTTGTTGTTGAGCTTGACAGCTATCCCAGCATGCACCGCAGCAGGAGCAGCTTCCAGGTTAGCGCTTACAGAGCTCTGAGTATTAACTTAAAATACTTAAGCATTAAGTTACAAAAAAAGGCAGTAAAACAGGAAGTGTGTTGTGAGACCAACATTTAAACCATGTCCTTAAAGCAGATGATTTAGTCAACATATCCCCCTTTTCTGCAACAACTGCTCAATTTCTACTTAGAATATGGTCCTCAATATGACATAAGGTTTAAACCAAAAAAAGCCTGTGGTTATCAATGTTAGGACAAAAGAGAATAGAACTAAGACTTTCCCTTCTGCACTCTGTCAAACAATGTTCAGTATTAATTGTTGTGGAGAAGATTAAATGTCTTGGTCACATTATTAGGAGGGATTTTTGTGAGGAGAATGATGATGATGATGATGATGATGATGATGATGATGATGATGATGATGATGATGATGATGATGATGATGATGATGATATACATAGACAGTATCATAACCTTTTTGCAAAAGCAAACATAGTGCCATGCAATTTTGCACGTGTTCTGATTAGATCAAAGATGCTCTGTTTAAAGCCTACTGTACTCCACTGTTCGCTGCACATCTGTGGGCGACTTACAGTATGATTAAAATGTGAAAAACTGGAATTGTACCAGGCAGGTGTTTGTGAAAAATATTGTAACCCCTTTAAATCCTGTGATCAGAACATGCTTGGAGGATTAAAAAAAGCCTTAAAGAAGTAACATCACATAAACCTCTTGTTATTGGAAACACTGGAGAATGTGCTTATCTGGACAGCAGTGTTCTTATTTCCGTACGTTTAATGGTAGTTGTAGATTTTGCTTTTTGTTTTTTTTTGGACCAAACATTGTCTGAAATAAAGAATGATTGAATTTAATTTCAATCTTTGATATTTAAATTTTTAATCTTTGAGTGTGACGAATAAACAATTTCAATTAAATTCTTTGATTCTCACTCATACTTATGACTTGTTTAGGGTCCAATAACTTCATTGAACTGGAGAGGCACTTAAATGGAAGAGAGCTTTGCTAAGCAGCTTGTTTCCCTTATACAGCGAAAATTTTCATATTAATCTTGTCAACATTATTGGATTCTTTGACCATGAAGGCCTACCTATATTATTTAAAATTATATTTTTACCACTATTACCTCACTAGTTGTTATGGCTAATGTTTTGGCTTAAAAAACATGCAAATTGAACCGGACGAACAGGTCCGCCCCTTAGGAATGGGAAGTCGTTTGTGTTCTTTGTTAGCGTGCAATACCCGATACCTGTCTATATCTCTGAAAGGGGGGTCGTTAGAGGGAATTGTTGGCCTGGCTGGACAGGCGAGGTGTTGCGTCTCCTTTGCATGTTGTATGTCCTATTTCTGACATTTTAAATTGAAAAAGCTTCCTGGATGGGAAAAGAAACGTCTTTAAACTTGGAAACAAAGTCCAGTGGATTGTTTTTTAACTTTTTTGGAATGACTTAGAACTAGATGACTGATAATCTTCACCAGCATTATGTATTATTTCTATAACTAGTTTCAAGATAACTCAGAAAGTTTCTTGATACAGCCTCCACACCATGGCCTATAACACTTGAATTCAGACTTTCATAGACTGAAACTGCCCGTGACTCTGGTATAAGCACATTCTGATCTAATGGCTGCATTCACATAAGAAAAGCTAGTGATGATGTAGACTGAGTAGAAAAGCAGTAGTGAGAAAAGGCTGCTAGTTCTACTGTTAACTGCAGATTTACCGGTAGCTGAAAAAGGCACCCCCATTATGGATTAAACTTTATTTTTTTAGTTATTTATCATATCATTAACATGCATTTTTAATGATTAAACACCCCACTTCAGTCCTCTTTTACTATATATATATTAGTTACCTCCCATATTAAAACATAGTAATACAAAAACAATAATAAAAAAAATATATATAAAGCAAACCAAACTCAAACATTACCGCTAAGTTTACTGTTGATAAAAAAAGTTTATTTATTGAACAGAAACACGCTAATTTATACGTTGTTTATATGTTTATTTCTTAGGCAAGTTTTTAATCACCTCAAAGAAACAGATTAAAATTAAAACAGCTTTTTTAAAGCTTTTATAAATGTGCTCATTTATGAAATATCGATGTGGATGTTTTCTGTCTGCAGGGTATCAGTGTGGTGGAGCAGGAGCAGTTGGACAACATGATGATTGAAATGGATGGCACAGAAAACAAATGTGAGTCAGAACCCGATGGGATGACTAATACCACATCATCAGACTCTACCAGCCAGCAGGAAAGCTCCCATGTTTAGCAGCTCTCACATATTTTAAAAAAAATATATATATATTTGCACCAAAGACTCATTTGTCACAGAGTCCTTTGCAGAGCAATAAGCTGCATAAATACAGATGGGAACAAGACAGATCAAATAGATTGCTTTGGCTCAGAGAACACAAACTCACATCTTTAATGAATAAAGGCACTTTGGATTTATTTCATCTACACAACACAACAAATAATCATTCCTGGAAGCACAGTTAACAGCCATGAAAAAGGTTTGTTGGGATAAATTAATAGTAGTAGGTGGAATAAACCTGACAAAACAAATCAGTCAAATAATTATTTGTCTTTGCTTCCATCTACAAATTACAAAAAACATCCTTAAAGTGTTTAATGACGGCAATAAGTATCACTCTGCCGTATTAATTATCGTATTAAAACGAAATCCTTTTTTAGTCTTCATGATTTATCCTACATATCTACTTGTTTTCTAAATTTAAGCAACAGTTTTCATTAGTTAAAAATTGTAACTCATTAAGTGTTTAAAAATGAGAGAAGCAAGACTTTAATTTCAATTAAAGTTATCTGAGAAAACAAACACAGTAATGGAGGAAATTATACTCCTGTTTTCAACACTTTCTTGTTCTAAATGTAAATTACCTGAAAAATACAGAGAGCAGAAACTGAAAACAAATTCTTTTTATTTTCATAACTTAAAATAAGTTTAGCTTGCAAAGTTTCCATTTTCATCATTTTATTGATTGTAGCATCATAAAAAGATGCTTTAAATCAGTTTTAAAATTTACAAAATGGGTCATTTGAAGGAGTAATAAATAAGTTTTGTGAACACTATTAAATTTTAAAGATTTCAAAAGTTATGTCTTCCTGTGTCCCTCTGTTCGTCTGTCAATCTGTGATATATAATAATGTTTTGATACATTAAGAACATTGATTACAATCAATATATATAATAAATGTCAGTTATTTGTAAAGCATGTTTTTTTTTACCTTTCCCATCCATAATCATCAGTTCTTATAAAAAAAAACCAAACAAAAAAATTGCATGAAAGTATTCAATCATAATAATAATAACAAATAAAAGTACCTATGGCCTTGTTTATGACTAAAGTAGCTGATAATATTGGATATATAAAAAGCAAAAAGCAATTTTACATTTTAATCACATTCTCATTAGAGAGAATTAATTCGATGTAAGGAAGAGTTTAAGCTGGGTGAGAGGACATTTTAGTTTAGGTTTCTTGCTCTCACTTTCATGTTTCTGTCCCTTCAAAACAACAATCATAAAACAATTAATGATGCTAACTTCTGTCTTTCTCCATCATGTGTCCGGTCAAACAGCGAAGTATGGAGCTAATGCCATTTTGGGAGTATCCCTTGCCATCTGTAAAGCCGGTGCAGCAGAGAAGGAAGTCCCACTGTACCGCCACATAGCCGACTTAGCTGGAAACACAGAGCTTGTGCTGCCGGTTCCTGTAAGCCTTGTTCACAAATACCTACAGCTGTATGTTGAAAATATTTAGCTACCTTTATTGTTCTTCTGCTGTTTCTTATCCCATTTTGCTCGCTCTACTTCCAGGCTTTCAACGTGATAAATGGAGGATCTCACGCAGGAAACAAACTTGCCATGCAGGAGTTCATGGTTCTGCCTGTTGGGGCCGAGTCTTTCAAGTAAGAAATGTTTTTTAATTAAACAGAATTTGTATTTATTATTTACCAAAAAAAATACCCTGTTTTAATTGGCGGATTTTAGTTTCCTGTTGAAATCTTTTTATCATCCTGTTCCCATGGTTTGGTTTTCAGGGAGGCCCTGAGGATAGGATCAGAGCTCTACCACACACTGAAAGGCGTGATTCATGAGAAATACGGCCAGGATGCCATTAATGTTGGAGATGAGGGAGGGTTTGCTCCCAACATCTTGGAGAACAGTGAGGGTGAGGAAATGCTTTTGATTAGAAAATACCTAAATTAATGCCATCTTACTCTCAAGAACTTGTTTCTTAACTTTTTATCATGCATCAATCTCCTCTTCCTTCTTTCTCTGTCACTACTCAGCACTGGACCTGCTGCAGACTGCCATAGAGAAAGCAGGTTTCACAGATAAAGTTGTCGTTGGGATGGATGTGGCCGCCTCAGAGTTCTACCGCGAGGGCAAGTACGACCTGGACTTCAAATCCCCGCCAGATTCGTCCCGACACATCAGTGCAGAAGAGCTGGCTGATATCTACCAAAGCTTCGTCAATAATTACCCAGGTGCAAAACTTTTTGTCTGATAATCGATAAACAGAAAGTCCTTTTGGTTTTCGCCCAGAATTAATCATTCATCGCTACTTCCTTCCAGTGGTTTCTATCGAGGACCCGTTTGACCAGGATGATTGGGAAGCCTGGTCCCGTCTGACGGCCCAAGTGGGGATTCAGGTCGTTGGAGACGACTTGACGGTGACCAACCCAAAGAGAATAGAGAAAGCTGCTGAGGAGAGAGCATGTAATTGTCTGCTGCTCAAAGTAAACCAGATCGGCTCCGTCACTGAAGCAATACAGGCGTATGTCTGCTTTTTAATCCTTAATTAACTGTGGGTTGTTTTTTTAATAGTTAAAAAAAGATGTTAGTCAACACAAAAATGTTTTCCCTTTTCTTTAAAACCACATCTTCATTTACTGTATTACAGTTAAGAGGCCCTGTGGAGATTTAAAGCGACTTAAATGCAATTTCCTTATTCAAATAGGGCGGCCGTACCACTTCTGCAGATGTTTTTAAATGCATGTTCAGTCTTAGTAGATCATTTGCAACACTCCCACAAATTTAACATGACTTTTTTTATTTTCAACAAGCAATTTAGCACTCTTTATTGGAATTTTTGAGGATCCAAAAAACTCCCCCCCCCCTTTTTAGGTCATGTAAGACTTTAAGGGCTCAATATTTACCCTAATCTGATATTTTTCCAAACAAAAGAGAAGGTCAGGGAAAGGCTGCAATCATAAGGTGGTTTGGAAAAGTAGCTGCATTAGATAGATGAGGAAAAACTTTTGGACCAGCTGAAAATAATAAGTTAAAAGCAAAAAAATCATGTATTGCTGCAGAACATTTTGACAGACCAACTACAAATTTCACCTTTGATCTAAGCACCATTATTGAGGGGTCTATCAAAAAGATCTAAGTCAGGCGACCTGAAGCCACTCTTCTGTGAAATTAAAAGGAACAAACAGAACCACCTCCTGGAGGCTCTGACCTTGTTGGGTCATAAAGGCTTCTGTGTCTCATCATCAGTCACTCCCGCAAACGTGCAAACAGGGGGGAGTAAGCTCACTGCAAAATACAGGCCCAGAAATTAATAAAAACTGGTATCTCTGCTCATTTCATCTGTACTCATCTATGCATAGAGGTACACTCTCTGTCTGTGACATAAATCTGAGTCTTAACATCCCTCTGTCTTATGAAACCATCAGTCATAGCGTCCAGCTGTAATAGAGTAGAGGATGTGAGGGAGATCAAATGATAAAACAGGACCAGTGACACGAGCAGTGATGTATTGGACTCATCTCATAAAAAAACTCGCTGCATCATTAATCTGATATATTTAAGAGCTCAGCTGGCTAAGTGCAAGATCCCTAAAAGCCTGGAGCATCAGCTGACGTCTTCATTTACATGCTGTTAACTTGTCAAATGACCTGCAGCTACAAATGAATCATAATGTGATTAATGCACTTCCCCAATTAAGAGGGTAATACATGCAAAACTGCAGATATGAGTGAAGAGAAAAGATGGATATTGTGCTTCAGTGACTGTGAAATTCCCTTTTACATTTATCCTCTTTTACTATCCTATAGACGAATCTAACCTTGAACTTGGGCTATATTATGGTGATGGCTCTGAAGATAATCTTATAAGATAATTCTGTGTGTTAAGAGGGATCTAGACTGCTTGGAAGGACGTTGAGACTCAAGCTGGGGAAATGTTGGATTGACTGATTTTCTAGCATGTGTGCTACATTTTTGGGTGCAGGTGTTACAGATCAAGCAGTAAGAACAGTGCATGTCAAAAAACAGGGTTAATTTATTTAACCCCCCCAAAAATATAAATTACATATACAAAAATGGATCCAGAAAATAGGTAAAAAGAACCATAACTACTCAAAATATCAAAATATAAGACTAACTCCAACAAACTGACCTCTCTTAATGAGGCAACTAGTGGATGATCAGTCCACAAAATAAACACATGGGGCAAAACGTACAGAAACATAACTAAACTAAGAAGTAAAACCCCATTTCCCCCGATAGCATTGCTGTGGTACGGCACAAATCAATTCAGCCCATCGGCCTCCTGCTGGTTCCTGCTCGACTGGAGCTGCTGCAAAACTCAAACAGAATATCAATTAAACACAATCATAACAAAAAAAAGGGTAAACTAAAGAATGTGCATTAATATGGGGATACAGTGTAATGGTCATGAATAAATCCAAACAATGAGATGGCTCTGTAAATAAAACCCTATATAAACAAATAAATTACATAAACTGTGTTTGTTACCACATCTGCGTGGCTGTAAATGCAGCCATTACAGCAGGCAAGGACACAATGAATATGACGTATATCTAATCAGTCCTGATAGGATACACAATAAAACCTCGCAGAAACTCGTGTTTGATTACATACTTTGATTCATATGTTGTATTTAAACAGTTGAGTAGCATTTTTTTTTTACAAAATACCTTTAACTGACAAGGGTAATAATTTTTTACATAGGTTCTTTGTCATTCTATGTTTAATTTTAACACTACAGACATTTTTTTTTTAGGTCATGCCTTAAACTACCGCCTCTTTCTTTCAGATGCAAGCTGGCCCAGGCCAATGGTTGGGGTGTGATGGTCAGCCATCGCTCAGGGGAGACAGAGGACACCTTTATTGCTGACCTGGTGGTGGGACTCTGCACTGGACAGGTAAAGAGTCTGATGCACATTAACAAACAGCCATCTCCTCCCAATCCTCCATCAGTGCATGAAATTGGCAAATTATGTGTTTTTATGCATTGGTTTAAAAATAGTTGTGCATGCTAACCTTGAAACTTTAGCTTTTACAATTTTAGCAATAAACTCCCATCTCTGACTCGTATTATCCAATTTACTTCTAACTTAGTTTGCTTTTTACTTCTCTCTCTATTGCAGATTAAGACTGGCGCCCCCTGCAGATCTGAGCGATTGGCCAAATACAACCAGCTCATGAGGTCAGTCAGCTGCAGAGAAATAACCGTTAACACCTTTTAGGTGTTCTATATATCTTGACCTTATACTTCATTCCCATACTTTATTATTTTTACATATCTGAAAGTTTACATCTTAAAATTTGCTGATTTACTTAAATTCAAAATTTTCTTTTTTGATCTCAGATAAATGGAATATTATCAGCATTTTTCTTTAATGTAAATACAAAGTCTCATTTTCAATTCATTGTTCTATAGTGCTAAAAACCTTTCAACCTTTGTCTAGTTTTAGTTTAAATCAAATTAGGCAGAGCAGCAGCTCTGCAGAACCACATCTCCTTAGGTCCTGCGCTATTTTAGTACTTAGAATCCGAGCTAATTGACGTGACAGTCAACGGCATTGCTGGTGTCACCCCATGTGTCCGAGCCAGTCGTTAGCCTCAGGGAGCAGGGAGACTAGGAGGAGGTGTGGTCGGCTCAGCGGTTTAATCCCATTGGGCCGCTGTGGAAGCCCAGGAGAAGAGGAGGCTTAGAGGGGCTTTAACCAATAAGAAAAGGCAAATTGTTGAATACAGGCAAAGTACACTCAAATGAAAAACAAGACAACATGTTTAATTTAAAACTTCTTATTTGGTCTGTAAGCAAATCAGCATACATTTTCTTTTAAATCAACATTTTTACACACAAAATAATTTCCCATTTCAGAAATAGAACAAACCTCGTTAAATTTAATTACTTAGATAAGAGAACATCTTACTTCCAAACACTGGATCTGTTTATGCTGAAGATAGTTTAAAGATGAAAAGGTTTGTCTTCATTTTCTGTAATGTTTTTCTTGTTTTAAACACTTTTATATGTACTGTTTGCATCATATTCTGGTATAGGTTAATAGAACCATATTGCTAACTGTTTATAATAGATCTACAGTGTCATCCCAGCTACTGGACCCTCAAAGATATGATGACACAAGAGAACATGCATTTTATGTGATGGAGATGTGATTCGGTCCTCATAAATCAGGAAATAACTACAGTTAATCTGAACATGCCAACATTTAAAATAGGAGAAGTAACATAATCAACCTTTATTTAACCAGGATAAGACTAATTGGGATCAGCTTCGCTATAGCAACCAGAAAGATAAGCTTTGAAAGATAAGCTTCGCCCGTTCTATCATTAAAAAGACAAAAAACAAAGAAAGATGGAACTGTGTGGCTCAGGCTCTCTGTAAGGTGGGGGATCCATGATGCTGAGGGCAGGTATTTCATGTGGGAAATCCCCATTTTTTTTAAATATATTGTTACTTTTATGAAATAAATATCAAGTGGCTTCTGACCCAATGTCTCACATGAGGCTGGATCATTGCAGAGAATCTTTTAGAAAAGGATTGGGCTGAGTAGAGCAGAGCACAGGAAGGAGTGCCGGACTCTGAATGCTACATATTCATGTGGATAAATCTATGTGTCTCTTACTCTTAAGGATCGAGGAGGAGTTGGGCGACCAGGCTCGCTTCGCAGGCCATAACTTCAGGAACCCAAGTGTCCTGTGAAACCAGCTGACGGACGAGACTGACTCACACACTCAACGCACGCAAAATGCCCACGCAAACTGACACAAACGACTAACAAGGAATGAGCCATGTACAAAGAAAGATCACTCAAATTCAGGAGAAATACAATCGCAAAAGAGCCAAGCGAAAGAAATGAATTAATTATGCACTCGACTGGAAAGAAGGGAGGTAATGCTGTATGCAGACACACACTGACACACAGATGCAACACCTGAAAACACACATGCAGGGGAAGACTTAAAAAAAAAACACTAGAATCTATAAGCCAGACATGCACTGTTACTGTAGGAATAGTTCATGTACAGCCAGGAGACTGGCCTGCAAAAATAAAGATTATTATTTAAAAAAAAAATCAGGGGTAAACAAGTAGAAATTCTGTAGAATAATGCAGTGTGAAGCACGAGAATGAAAGAGATAAAAAGGTTAAACTTTTATGACCAAAAGAGGATGATGCAGATGTAGGAAGACGGTGAAAACAACTAGATCAATAATAAACCCTCTGAAACACTTGAACACACACACCTACACACTCACACTCAGCTGTGTCACACTCTCACCTGGACACTTTCCTCCCAGCTCTAATACCCCCCTCCCCCTCCATATATTTGACTCTCCTTCTTCTTGTTGTGTCTGTGTCTCGGTTTTAACTGTTCCTGTTTTCTTCTCAACCTGGTGTGAATCTGATTATTTGTCCTCCATGCTTGAAGTCCTGCTTTTCTGTCCCAAAAGAAAAGGGAAAAATAAACCTTAAAACCTGAAGCCCTTTGCCCCCTGCCCCCCACCCCCCGTTTGTCCATAGATTAGCTGTGTCAAAAAAAAAGAAGAAAGAGCAATGAATAAAAAATGAAAACAATAACGGAACGCTTGTCAATGAAAATAATGTGAAAAAAATGTGAAATAAAAATGATGTTCTAAGATTTCAATCAAAGCTTCTTCTCTGTCTGTGTTTGCATTTCTCCACAAAGTGACACATAACACCAGTACATACAGACAGCATAACATAACCTCCAAATATCACTGGAAATCCATATAAAGTTTACACATCTGTTGAATCCATATTCAGAGAGGAAAACAAAGGATCTGCTTCTCTGTAAAGTAGCTCCTTTGTAGAAGATTACAGCTGGTGCTGTGTGAAGGGAAATTAAGGATCTTCGTGGATGATTACAGATAAGAAAATAGAAAGGCAAAAAAGGAGAAAATATGTCCCACTATGCAGCTACAACAGCAAATGAACTGCAGAATGGGGAAATCTTATATAAAATACATGTAGTTCTCAGAAAGACAAAAAAACTACAAACTACAGGTCTGAAATGGGAAGAAAACTGAATGAGAAAGAATAAGGCAGCAACAGATAAACAAAAAACACTGAAAAGCAAAGCAACAAAGGACACAAAAAGGCTTCCATCTATTGATTCATCTAGATTTATCTACATAAACCTATAATGTTTGACCCCCATCAGCCGAGTCCTTATATTCTAGAACAGGTGTCTACAACATGCGGCTCCGGAACCACAGGTGACTCTATGGAAACTCTACAGTGGCTCTTAATTTTGGCCTAAAATTATACTAAGAAACAAGTAATGTAGTAGAATAACAGATAGCAGCCTTTATTGGGTTTAACAAAATAATATTTGGTAGACTTTCATAACAGAATGGCATTAAAATACAAAAAAAGACGGTTTTAAATCATCTTTTTTTTTGCCATTAGCTCGGAAATTGTTTTTTTGTTTTTTAGTTGAAATAAGATCCTCTGGAGGAAAATCCTTACTTCATCTTCATTAAATGTTTTCTGGATTTAACAGCTAAAAAAACATATAAACTGCTTGTTTAAAATGGAAAACGGTTTCCTACAGCAGATATTTAACAAAAATATGTTTTTTTTAGTTTTCATAAGGTTGTAATCGGTCAACAAAGATTCAATCTTTGCAGCTCTAAAAAGTTTTTGATCTGCCAGACTAGGGGGGAAATGCCTCTATAGATTGTAAATGTTGCAGACCTCTGTTCTAGAAAAACGGCTCTGCTCTGAGCTCTTCTCAGATGTAGCAGTTTCTTCTCCCCTCCATGGCTGAATCCAGTAAATAACCCAATGATTAAAACCTGAGGTCTTTCGTTCATAGTTCAAATATTTTTTCATTCATTTAAGAACAGCCACTGATTGTTGAAGGACTTACATTCCTGTTAAAGCCCCTTTCTGCAGATCCAAACCAGTCGGTGGCAGCAAAGCAAAACTAGAACCACTTCTCTCATTTTTAAGTTGACTACAAACAAACCAGCATAAATGTGGTCTTCAGAAATGCTTGATGTAAGCTCCTAATATTTTATCTGGATTGAAAATGTATTTGCCTTATTTACCTTTGATTTCTTTATTTCTTTATTTATCTTTATTAATTTATTTTTCACAGACTTTTGCAACTACGGTCATTGTAAAATTCCTTCTATTCCTCCTAAAGCATCAACTCTTGTAACCTAAACAAGCCTGGGCTGTGCTACTCAGTCTAATTTTTTCCAGGTGTTGTCTCTATGTTTGCTTTCAGGGAACAAACCTTCACAGAACAGCACAAAGCTTCTGAATATGCAACGTCTCTATTTCCCCAGTTGGACCAAGCTGAAGGCAATGAAGGTGGTGACAGAATAATTTACACTTCAAGCAGCGCGGGCTCAGTTTGATTCACAGCCAATACAGCCGTTAATGTGTTAGCCTCCACAGCTATCATCACAGCTGTTGGTACAGGGAGAATAATAGTGCAGTCAGGCCTTTTGAAACCAATGAAAACATGGAAAAATCAGATGAAGTCAACAGACGACAAAAACTGTCAGTCCTGTACCATGCTAGACGTTGAAAGGCTAATCTTTATTTACTTGCTGTGCAAAAAGCAATAGAAAAAGCTATTTTAGAAGAAACTGAGAAATAACTCTCTAAAACAACAATAGTGACACACTTTGTGGAATGGTCTGGAAACAATCATCTGATCCTGAATGTAAACAAAACAAGGGGGGTTATTGTAGAAACAGGAAGAAACAGGATTATGGGAGAAGAAGTGGAGGTGGTTGAAGAGCATAAATATCTTGGTTTGCATCTGGACACCAAACTAGACTGGAGACGCGACTAAGCCATCTACAAGAAGTGACAAAGCAGACTGGACTTAAAGGAAGCTTAGTTCTTTTGGTGTTTGTAGCAAGATGATACATATCCTCTATCAGTCTGTTGTGCCGAGACGGGAAATGTGGAGTCAACAAGTCATCTCCATGTCATGTATTTAATCTACCCAGCCAATTAACCAGGTGAGTCCAATCTGCACAGGTTGATTCGCGGTGAAGATTGGACTCACCTGCTTCAGTGGTTGGGTAGATTATATACATGACATGGAGATGACTTGTTGACTCCACATTTCCCATCTCTGTGTTGTGCAGAGTGAGATTTATTCCTGCATCATCTGCTGAGGTCACAGGATCAGAGCAAAAATTTGGAAAAGCTCAACAAGCTAATAAAGAAGGCCAGCTCTGTTCCAGGAACTGAAGACAATTTTACAAAGAGGAAGTCTTAATAAAATAAAGAACATTATGGAAAACAGTGAGCATCCTCTTCATCAGTCTGTTGAACGACAACAGAGTGTCTTTAGTCAAAGGAAGACCATTCCTATTTAGAGCTATTAACACCTAAAACTGTTTAAAAAAACAATGTATAGTTTCCTTTTGGGATCGGTAAAGTCCATTGAAGCAATATAGTCACTTGTAGAAAGACATAATGCAAACCTAGATGGGTTGGATCAGGATACTGATAGTTCCTGTACCAATAGGGGTTAAAAGGAGAAAAAGCCTCTACTCTTAAAGTTCCATGTAAAATCAGATTTAAGATAGCAATGCTTGCAAACATAAAAACCTTAATTCTGAGGAAGGGTCATGGTGCATAAAGCACATCTCTCTACATAAAGGTCTGCAAGTTTTCGCCATGCAGGTTCAGGTTCTCTCCAGGTTCTTCCACAGCCTAAAAACACGTGTTAATTGCTCTCTATGAAATCAGCCAAATTAGAGAAATAAATCGCATAATGTTTCCACATTTGATTTATTTGGTTTCAGTTCATATTAATCAGTCTCCTGACTCTACAGAAACACCTGAGTCCGTGTTAAACTACACACAGTAAAGCCTTTGGACCTACTGAGTCACTAACTCCTGATATTTACTTTGCTTTGCGTTAATTCAAGTAAACTCTGGAACATTAATCGTTACAGACTTTGCATTAGCATAGAGGTGAGCAATGTAACAGCAGTGAGGACATTATCACAATTAGTCAGCAAACATTAGAATTGACAGTCTGGTGGATTGATTCAAAAAATATGTTTCTAATAAAATGAAAAGCAGCTAATAAGGAGATTATTATCACAACTTAAAAAAAAAATGAAAACGTTATTTCAAAAAATTTTGTGTCTCACGTTTTAGACTGATAAGAATTAAATCCCTTTGGACAAAAAAAAAAAACGTTATTCATGACTAATCATTTAACAAATCCTTTAAGTGACAGTTAAAAGTATGAAGAAATTTGTGCATGAGTTACTTTAGTTGGATGAAACATCATAGTGTGACAGACTAAAGGCAGTTTAGTGATTATCGGTACGTATTACACGCGTGCATTGATGATGTCGATGAACTCGGGTTTCAGAGAGGCTCCTCCAACCAGGAAGCCGTCCACGTCGGCCTGAGACGCCAGCTCCCTGCAGTTTGCTCCAGTAACTGAACCTGGAAGACAGGCCGTGCAAACATGATCGTTCATTTTTGCAAGATATTATTTTCAAACATTAATTTAACATTAATATAAACATGCAGAATTAATCCTGCATGTTTATACATATATATTTATTAAATCTCCTATGATCAACTCATTATAGTGTCAGTGTGGGGTAATTAAACTCTTCCTGACTTCCCTTGAGTTGCCTGTTTGTGAATTATTTTTCACTGGGTTTTGCCTCTCCTGCAAAATAAGCTTCACATGTAGTTTGATTTTCGCTGCAAAGATTCAGCCTTAAAATCAGACCTCCATTCAAATTAAGGGTGACACTGTTAAATCCTCCATAAGGAAGTGTGGTAGCTTGAAAAATACAACTATTGTAGAGAAATATAGCAATAAAAATATAAAAGGAGACAACAGGATAATTACAAGCAGAAGTGACCAACGCTGAATCATTACTGACCTCCATAAATGATGCGCAGTGACTCAGCCACATCATCTGATACGTTTGCTCTGAACCAGACCCTCAGCTTCTCATGGACCTCCTGAGCCTGAGGAGGAAACAAATAGACATTTGTCAAGTAAGTTCATAGAGAAAAAGAAATCAATGATACAAGAATGTGGGTTAAACCTCTTCGACTCAGATTTATCGTGTTTCTAGTCATAAAAGTGAAAGCATCTATGATTGTTTCCATGGATACAGCATCACAAGAAAACACTTTCTTTGCAAAAGAAATCTGAATTTGTTGATTTAGTTGTGTTTTCGTACAGGTTTATGTGATCATTTCTACAAACCTTTTTAAAGTTTTAGTAGTTTATATCAGACCTGTTTTGTTTTTGTTGTCTTTCATATTATATGTATCTACACCTCATTCTTTATTAATTGATCTATTTTTGTTCCTTTGTTTGGTTTATGGTTTACTGAGCCATTTTAAGTGGACAATTTAAACTCTTTCTTTCCTGTGGGCCCTAACAATTTCTCTAGATTAGATCAATCATAGCATTCATTTCCATTTTATCAAATATTCATACAAATCAGATTGTATGAATAAGCAAGTGCAACAAATAAACCTTTATTATGCAGGATTTTTTTTTCTTATCTTAGGAAAAAAAATCATGTTAAATAGGAGGTAAATCTTATCAGTAAATAACCTGAACCCCATTTAATAGCCATAAAAGCACACTTTTATACCAAGACTCATTCCAGATTCTAGTTTTGTTATTTATTTAGAAATGGAGGTTGGATTATTTTAAATTCCAGCGTATGTGTTCCTTTTTAGGGAGCTGTTGATGGATGAGATTCCCATTTTTCTGTCCATCTTTAACCCAGTTGCGCATTTTTTCAGAGCAGATACTGGATCAGATGTTTCTTGTTAGTTATTTTAGTTAAGTTGTAGTTCAGGGTTTGGTGCAAACAACCCTTTACTGAAAGCCTTGAGACACAGCAGCTAAAGCCACTTTCTTCTCCCTCTATTGTTACCTGCTCAGGTGTGGCTGTCTTTCCAGTGCCGATGGCCCAAACAGGTTCATATGCCAGCACCACTTTCTCCCAGTCCTTCACATTTTCTGTAACACAAATTCCTTTTACTCCATGCAGAATGAAAAGAAGACAGCAGCATAATCTACGACGACATATTAATGAATATAGAAAACAGAGAAATGTTTGCAGTTTGCATGTCCTGGTAGCAGTGTAGGGCTGCTGAGACATAGCTGTGTCTCTTAAAATTTCTCCAGCAGCAGAGTCCACTGACCTATTTACATTTTAAAGTAGAGTGCAGCCTAGTTTCAGTGCAGCAGAAAAATGCATGAGGCCAACAGAGAAAAGATCTTTAATCTGATTATGTAATGCAGAGTAAAACAGATAATTTATTGATCTGTGTAGCACGTTTTAGTAAATAAATTGAGAGTTGAAGCCAAAACTACACAAAGACTGTAAACATACGTTACATTTAGTTAATCATATTAAAAGTCCCTTTTTTAAGATTTTCTTTACGATTAACATGTTTTCTTAAAAAAAAGAGGAAAAAAAAAAGATTACTTTGGCCTTAAGTCACTTAGATGATAATATTATGGATTTGCTAGGCCTTTGATAGGTTAAATCACAACATCTGGGTTATTTGGAGACAGAATTGCTGTTTTATGTGAAATTAAAAGATGTCAGCAAAAGTATCAGGGAAAGAATTACTCTACAAGTACGTGTCAGAGGCTTAAATTCACTATCATCTGTCCAAACAAGTAACAACAGCATGCGGATGTCCAGCCATCATCCCGTTCAGGAAGGAGGAGGGTCCTGTGTCCCACAGATGAATATATTTGGTCTGAACTACGCTTTAGACTGCAAAGATGAGCCATTACCTAATACGTATGATTAGACTGAAAGAACACTCAGTGATGAAGAAGACAACAATCCTGAGGAAACATGGAGCAAGCCTGATTTTCCCTTGAAAAGGTCATATGGAGAAAAAACGTCAAGCTGTAGAGACGAAGCCTGTGTTCTAATGAAAGTGAAGTTTTGGGGGTGGTGGTGCTGAATGATTCATTTGAAATGATTAATTTAACAGAAAAACCTTTGATTTCCACTTTTTTATACACATTTTCACCCAAACCACATATACAATTTTTTCTGTCGGTTTGTTTCTGCCGCCGTCACACTTGAATATCCCCACTATAGGACAATAAAGGTGTTTATTCTAATCAACACTGAGCTTTTTCTAATATTACATCCAATTGTACATTGTGTGTATTACTCTCTTTATATATATATATATATATATA